GCTACTTGGGAGGCTGAGGCAGGAGACTCACTTGAGCCCAGGAGTTGGAGGTTGCTATGCGTCGTGATGCCATGGCACTCTACCCAGGGGGATAGCTTGAGGCTCCATCTCAAAAATAAATAAATAAATTAAAAAATGTGTTTAGTGGTCTAAGTATGCAGCAAAACACAAATCTTGTTCATAGGGAACAGGTGGTGCTCAAAAAAAAAATCTCCTTGTAAACAGATGTATGGAATTCAAAACACATTTTCCCATCAAAACATTGTTATAATGGTGGTTAACTCCTAGGTGGGTTCACAAGGCCTATGCAATTGTTAAAAATATTTATCCCACACCTGAGTTGTATGTGACTGGTACTGGCAGTCTAAGAGAAGACACTCATGACGCCAGAGGAATAAGAATGGTCTCCTTTCACTCAGGTGAGTCCCTCTCCCACAAAGGCCCTCCATCTGAAGAAATGCCACCCTCTGCTGCAAGGTCAGACTCAAATGACCAGTCAGTGGGGTGGGAGAGGACTTGCCTCCACACCTCAAGGTGAAATAACTCCAGCTCCAGAGCTCCCACTGGGAGATCAGCTGGGGTCTGTTGCAGCCACAACACAGCTCAACTCTTTCCTCCTCCACTAGGAACAAGGCCAAGAGCACTCCCCAGCAAACCTCTAGCACACAAATCTCTGTCTCAGAGGCTATTCCGAGGGTCAATGACAAATAGCTAACACTTTATACACTCGTAAGTCAGGCACTGCTTTAATAAGTACATATAAATATGTATAAATATATATATATATATATATATATAAATGAATTTGTAAAAATACCTGGAATCCAGGCCCACTGAAAACTAGATACACCATGATCAAGGTAGCATGCATTTTTAGGTCTGAAGCAAAAAAGCAAAGGTCTAAAGGAACCAGAATTATAGAATGAAACTACACATACATACTCTACTGAACGATTACTAGAGCCTAAAAATAACTTGTCCACCTACAATCAAAATCCTACAACATGTGCAGGCAAATGTTTACTAAGGAGGGGAAGGATGGCACTTCCTCACGCTTCCTTGTCCTTTATTCTAATCCCTGCAAGACGCCTCAAAAACTAGTATCTAAAAACTAGTATCCAATAAATTCTTATTAGAGGCACAGTATCTGTAATAATATTCAACTTACTCAAGATGCACAACTGCAACCAGTTCAGCTTCTTGGACTACAACCATACCATCACTCCCCCAAGCTCTCCCTAGCTAGCAAATCTTCTTTTACGGAATAAATGGTTATTTACACCTAAAGACAAACAGTAAACAACAAAGAGCTAATATTACCTTGCCCTGGTAGTCACACTGCCCAAGAGCTACAAGAAATAAAACCATCCTGGCTCGGTGCCTATAGCTCAACCGGCTAAGGCGCCAGCCACGTACACCTAAGGTGGC